AAGTCACACTGTAGTCAATGTTCTTATGTAGTTATTGTTATAACTAAAGCATAAAGAAAGCATTCGGTGTTAAAACACACTTCCTGTTCCCTTTTTTTAAGTCGGTGATACTCACACATCGCTCAGAGAACAGACAGTTTTTGTCTCTTCGTCACTTTCTTGAGTACAGGACACATTTGTCACACTCAGCTCCTCTTCTACTTCATCTCCCTTCTCACTCAGCTCCTCTTCTACTTCATCTCCCTTCTCAGTCTCTTCTTCAGTCCCAAGACCGTTTACTGAAGTTTGCTCTTCCTCAGAGTTTCCCTGTCCAGTCAGCAGAAAGACAGACTCCCCCCGTTCCTCTTCTAATTTTAGATCTACAAAACTGTCCACCCCATCCTCTGAGACTTCAGTCTCCTCAACAGTATTGATTAAGTCCACAGTTTCAACAGGATCTGACGTTAGCCAGTGCCCCTCCTCTTCTTCTGAGTCTGTCCTCAGTGGGATTTCTGGGAAATTTTGAGGAAGTGGGTAAAAATGAGTTTTATATTTAGATCTGAACTCGTCTCTAATTTAAACAAACAAACGATTAATGCTGCAGCAACTCTAGGAACCTAGAGTCACAGGTTTGAGTAATAAATACATACTATTATTACTTTTTAAAAGTTGGTGTGTTGAATCTTCCTTTTCGTGTGTCATCCACTCTTGGGCTGCTGCGTCACATGGCTGGAAATTGCAACACGGCATTAAACATGAAAAAAGTGGCTAGCTGTGAGTTCATGAGTATCAAACCTCTCTCCCAGCCTCATCTGAACATTATGTTTGTTCCATTCCACCCACATCTGCTCAGCCTACTACAATAACCCAAACATCTACTGAACAGAGACAAAGGTGGTGAAAAAAAAGTCGAAATAGGAAACTGTAAAGGTGTATAAATATACAGAAATAGACAATTCCAAATAAGTGCAGCATGGCAATATCACACCTCTGTACTTATCTCTCTTCACACATCACATACCTCATAGCTGCTTCCTGTCCATTCTATTACTGAGCTCAGAAGCTGTGAATTAGACCCATCATGTTCCTCTCTCTCCTCCAGCACAAAAAGCTCAGCATTAACATCTTCAGATTGGTGAGGTGATGGGGAAGTGCTGTCTCGACACGTCACACCACCGGAGTCCAGCTTATTGGCCAAGCTGCTGTCATTCATGAGCGAATATGTTTCCACAGAGACGCCGGGCATGTCCCACTGTACTGTGGCACAGGAGAGCGGAGTACTGGTGCAGGTCATGGGGCGTACTGGCCACACTATTTGTTCCCACTCTTCTGCCTCCTCAGGAATCTTTTGTCCTGCCTTTGAGGAAAGACTAAGTTGATCTGTCATGTGCGACTGGTTTATCTGCACTTCCGTCTCACCCCAAACAATGGCCTCCTGTTCTCCATTGATGTACTTATGATCTGCAGAGGCCCTTGAGTCTGGGTGAGGCTGCTGAAAGTCTGACTCTGTAATATCTGGAAGAAAGGAACACAAGTTTTCCTCCTCCATTGCTGTCTCTCTCAGTCAGATCTGTTGTCAAGGTTTTATGAGTTTCAGTGAAATACGTAGCTGTTGATGTTGCTTAACTGTCCTCTTTTGCTGTATGAAGGATGTTCATTTTGTAAGGCTGCATAACTGTGACATCCTGCAGCATGATACAATCTCAAGTCCCGTCATTTACAGATCTGTGACCAAAGAACACAACCCATTAGTGTTCGAAAATATATAATCACACCTCCATCTCAAGCAACACAAGAAACACCTGTGACCTGAAAACACTAAGGCTGCATAATCAAAAACAACAAAGTGTTCTGTGAACTATTTCAGCACCATGTTTAAAAAAAACAAAAGGTCTTGGAGAATATTTAGGGGGAGCAGCTGATTAACAATAGACAAAAAAAGCAGTTCATAATACTCTACTATGTTTAGTTGTAGAGTGATAGTGATGAACTATACAGTATAAGGATTGTCTTTACAGTGGCTCTTTTCTATTCATCTATGAAAAAAAAATAATTAAAACTACTGAGGATATTTTAAATTACATAAGTCTGAGCAAAAACTAAATAAATCATTTGCAGCCCTGGTTTCAGAAAAATACTCAACACACTCACCACTTGTACATCAACATAATCCAGCATGGAGAAGATGTTTGTCTGTTCTTTAGTCCAAATTTCTCTGTTTTTTTTTTTGTTTTTTTTTGCACAGCACTGCAGATATGCAGTGCAACAGACTTTAAGTGAAATGTCATGAAGCACACTTCTACTTCCTGACCACAGGCACAAAAAAATCAGCTAAACAAGTGAGCAGGATACAGAAAGACTGAAAGAAATTGAGGCAGATTGTCTGGATGAAGAAGAGAGGGTGGGGTTGAACGGTTTAACTGTCTGTGTCCTGTGTTTATCATTTTATAACCATGCTGCACTGTGACCCTGAATGATGGATAAAACAATATTTTTAAAGAGACTAAACTACTAATAAAGAGACAAACCAAGGCCGTCTCTCCCAACAACATCAAGGCCAACAACTGAGCATCAACAATAACATATCATCCATGTCACTCATAGCTTATTCTTTGCCACCAACTTTAACCTTCGATATGATCTCAACTTAATGTACCTCTCTCTGCCACATGTTTTTGCAACATCTCTGTGACTGTCTTCATTATTCTATTCACGTCATGCAACCAACATCCGGGACAGACTTTGACCACATTTCCTGTGTGGGTGCTCACTTCTCAGTTCCTTTTAGGGTGCAGAAAATGCATGTACAAGAGTTAACAAGGATTAGCAAAGAGGACCATCTATAAACCACTCGTGTTAGAAACAAACTGAATGGAGATACTGAAACTTCACATATTAAAACTTTTAAGATACACAATTGTCTCACGTGAGGTTTTCAAGTGAAAAACTTGGTGAAATTTAAAATAATCTGGACCATTCCAACCTCATACAGCACCGATTACAAGCTATTCCTCCTCTTTAATAAAATAATCAGAGATCATGTGTTTCATGCTGTTTGACATGATAACACAGTTAATCCTGTGAGTGATGTTACGTTTGGCAGCACTGTTGACTGCCAAGATTTTCAGAAAGAATCATTTTTCTGTTTCATAAAAGAGAAAATTAGAATAAACAAAAACATACTTTAAGGTAAGTGTAATATTACTTACATTTAACTTAAAGTATGTTTTTGTTTATTCAAATTTTCTCTGCAAACTGCAGTCCGCCCAAAGAGGGAATTACCAAGAGAAGTGGCTTACAGTACAAGGGAAGTTTATACAGCACATCACAGGCTTGAAAGGGTGGTTTAACTCATTAAAGGAGAAGTACAAAAATAAAACATAACAGAGAGGACAAACTAAAATGAGGAACACCACCAGTCTGGGTAAAGTGAAAGCTGTGACATGAGTTTAAAATGTATGTTACAAAAGATAAACACTGCCTAGTATTTCATTCATTACCACCAGTGAACATGGCACAGACATGAATTTGAACAATTTCAAATCTCAAAGGACTAAAACATAATCTCATTAGGAAGAATCTTTTCAGCTGCAAAGCATGACTTACCCCCTGCAGTCTTGAAAGCAACATCATATGATCAGCCAGCATGTGAGGTTTTAAATCAAGTTATGCGGGAGGGAAAGACACATCACTGTGTTATACTGGGCTTATACTGCTGTCACAGAGCTGTGCATGTATAGGCACATTCTCCCACACACACACACACACAAGTGCACAAACAACCCCTCAGTTGATTTGTCTGAACCTGAAGCGCACAACAAACAAGCCTCACACGCCTCACATCCGCTCTCTTTCAACCAGGCAGTTTTTTAGTCTGTGGTGTCGCATTAAGATGCATGCAAGACACAAGTCCTACTCTGGACCGGGTCCTCCTCCTTCTTGCTGAAGCTTCCTGTCGATTTTGCATAGATCAAGATCAGACTTCCGTATCCCTCTGTCCTTTTCGCCTGTCTGCAAATATGGCTGAGGGAAAACAAGGGGAGAATTTAGAGGAGGGAAAGAATGAGAAAGCTGCTGAGTAGCAACATAGAAGAAGAAAAATCAGATTGTGATTGGCAGATGAGATACCTGAGAGGCCTCAGCCTACGCCTGCTGTCCTGAAGGTATGCAAGCATGCATACACATCAGGTGAGAGGAGTGGCTTGGCTTCATTCCTGCAAATGTCACCAGGAACAATGTGGTAAAACCAGAAGGTGTCCAGATTCAGTGTGTATAAGCCATTGGCAATGCCTCTTTCTTTTGGACTATAGTTTTGGTGTCTAGCTGCAGGCAGAAAAGCCTATTTAACATAGACATGAGGCCGTGTTTATGATGGCTTATATAAACAACAAGATTACATTCTTCTTTGATTCAGTTTTTCATTTTTGAAGTTAAATTTGGTTTAAATCAATTCATTCTGCCTTAATTTAATGTACCTAAACACTTAAAATAATAAAACATTGTTTTAGAATTACTGATCAATGAATCATGCATATGATTACTATTTTTTATAAAATCGTCATAGTTTTTAACTTTTGTCCTTAAGCTTATTTTCCATATAAGCATTTCAGTCAAATTATTAGCTCAGCGTACCAACTAACGCAGACTAAGTTATTCTAGTAACAAGTGTAATGTTAGAATAAACCCAGTAAGTTAATATTATGTAACGTAACGCAGTTATTCTTTATTATCAACACATTTAATTGATTAGTATTATTATTAGCTCTTTGTGCCTTAGTGTCCTTAGTTTGTAGCTAAGTAACGTTAAACATTGTACACAAACCATTAGCATGATTAGCCATTGGTAACAACACTAAGCATTAGCATTTACGTTATGTGAACATCCTTACATCTACAATAGTTAAGTTGGTTGCTAAGTGGTTGTAATAGCTGGTTCTACTAATAGCAAACTAGCAGTGCTGCTATGTTTTGCAGTTGTTCTTGTTATTTAAACACTATTTATGACCCTAGTTATAGTGTAAACAGTATCAAAGTAACGTATCCCTGCTATCACCTGTGCCCGACTAATCCACGCCACACCGGCAGGGGCGCTGTGAGCGAAACAAAACCAGCTTTTCTTCGTCGTCATTTTCGTGGTCTGTTTGTAGTCAGTGTTCCGCACACGGCAGCAGAGTTGCCTACCGTACCTACTTTTTGCTAGGCAACGTTACTTTGAGCGCTGTACAAACCAATCAGTGTGTTGTTTACAGCTACAGCCGCTGTTTCTAGCATGGCCAAGTCGAATGACCTGAAAATCTTCCTGGAGTCTTCGCTGAATGAGATCTTTAAAGCTACAGTGAGCGATATACTGGACTCAGTGGACCGGACTTTGTCCGAGTACCAAGGCACGATACAGAGGATCGAGTCGGAAAACGAAGGCCTGAAGCGACTGCTGTTTGCACAGAAGAGTACAGAATCTGCTGCGAGAGGTGTGATTGTCTGTAGTCAGTGTAGCTTCAAGTAGCCCATTGTTCCAGCGTGCAGGTTTCACTTCATTCAAAATAGGGCTGTGTAAATGTTTTGCAACGATTAAGTAGATTATTCAATCACTACAAAATATAACATGCATATTTTGACATGTAGTCTAAGTCGTGTGTGTAATAGGCAAAGTTACGTTTATTTCAGCCCATGATTGCTTACAGTGAAAATCAGCAGGGTGCCTTTGAGCATCCTCACTTTAAAGCTGAACTGATCAATGAGTGGATACAGTGGATACAGAAGTGAATATACAAATGAACTGAAACAGCTCTATGGAGCATTTTTGTGTTTATCAACTCATTGCTTTTGTTTCTGATCCACAGCTCCACTGAGTTCCACCTTGGTAGGCGTAAAGTGTATGGCAGGTTCACAGTCTGTACTGTTTTGTTCATGTTTTGTGTGTGTGTGTGTGTGGTCTTGAATTTTCAGATAAACATGAGCATGATGTTACAAAGAAGTTTTCAGCTTCAGAGTGGACCAGTTGTTCCTTCAGCTCCACAGAGGGCCTGTGCAAGAAGAGCTGCTGGAGGAAGCACAAAGACAAAATGAGAGAGAGCGTGTCCTCTGCCTCATTTTTACTGCAGACTAATGACACAGTAGAACAACCATGTGTAAACATCACAGAGGCAGGTGCGGCTACAACAACCTTGACATCTCTAAAATCAGAGTCTGGCCTGGATGAAAGCGGTGCTGTTGACCTCTCCCAACCTTCATCCCTACTCAATCTGACAATGAGGCCAATAAAAAATGAGAGCACAGACATCAGTTGTGACAGCCATGATGCATATGCACCTCTGCTGCCCTCTTCAGACCATGAACAAGATTCCAGTGGCAGTGAAGGTGCCATCAAAGTCACCATTGTTTCTGAGAGCTACATTCAGGATGGACAGTTCATTAAGACAGAGGAGGAGGAGCCGAACGGGCTGTTGCACTATGATGACAGTGACATTTTCTCTAACCAGGATTTAAAGCATGTGTTGAGATATTACCCTGAATCAGAAATATATCCCGAGCGAGTGAGTAGACAGGTTGTAGAGCCAGAAGTGGAGATACATAAGGAGAATGATTCACCTGCTGTTCTTGCAGATGAGTTTTTGGAGATTCATGACAACTTTTTACGCTGCCCCACCTGTCCCAAAACATTTAGTCGAGCAGCCTCGCTCAACATCCACATCAAGACTCACAGCGGTGAGAAGGCCCACTGCTGCAGCTACTGTGGTAAACGCTTTGGCCGAGCTGATCTCCTCAAATCCCACAAGCGAACCCACACAGGAGAAAGACCCTACAGCTGCAGCATTTGCAGTAAAACATACGCCCATCCCAGTCAGCTTAGAATACACAAACGCGTCCACACTGGAGAGAAGCCGTATCCCTGCTCACACTGCGGAAAGCGCTTCAATGAGCACAACCAGCTCAAAGTCCACTTGCGGACTCACACTGGGGAGAGGCCTTACAGCTGCCAGGAGTGTGGCAAAACATTCAGCAACACAGGGAACCTACGTATACATGAGAGGATTCACACTGGTGAGAAGCCGTACTGCTGCGCTCAGTGCGGGAAAAAGTTCAATGGCTTGGGTGACCTCAAAACACATTATAGGATTCACACTGGAGAGAGGCCCTATAGCTGTGAGCTGTGTAAGAAGACCTTCAGCCAGGCAGGCCACCTCACCATACACATGCGGATGCACACAGGAGAAAGACCGTACAGCTGCAATGAGTGCGGCAAGAAGTTTACAGTGGCCAGCAGCCTGAAACTCCACCAGAGGACTCACACAGGAGAGAAGGAGTACAGCTGCTCATACTGCAGCAAAAGCTTCAGCAGGTCGGGCCACCTGAAGAGGCACGAGCTGGTCCACACCAAAGAGAAGGTGTTCCTCTGCAGCCAGTGTGGAAAGACCTACACGGACCAGTCCTCCCTTAAGAAGCACCTGAAGATGCATGCAGCCAAAGAGCAGAAGGCTCAGAGCGAAGGAAGCACAGAGGAGGCTGAAACGAACCAGGCCCAACCTTCAGTCCCCACTGATAGACATTAAAGCCAAATTATTAAGGCCCAATCCCATTTCTTATTTTTTATCCTTACCCCTCATTTACCTCAGCTCCCTCTCTTTGAGTTAACTCTCAAGAAGTAGTGGTTGAAATCTTATCTAAATAATATATATAAAAAGCAACAACACTTCAAGACCTCTATGCGTCATCAGTAGTTAATGACAATGATTAAATAAACAGACACAACAGGTTGCTGTCAGAAATTTTGAATCACACAATGCCATCTTCAGCTGTTGTGATTTCTCTTGTGTGGTCTTTAAGCATGAATTTGTGATTTTCAACAGCAAATAAGAAAAATGCAAGGATAGGAATATGGCCAATAGGAATATGTTTTTGACACCAAGGAGTGTTGGTGTTTGTTTGAGGTATGTAGCATCAACTGCAGTTAACTTTTGTTGTATGTTAGCCTCATACCACTCAGTTCTGAGTCTGCCTCTGAAAGCCCTACCACTTCACCTTACCCTTCAGTCCTAAAGAAAATCTGCACTCCCCTACCACTACATGTGAATGCACAAAACAGAGGGGTAGGGGCAATGGGTGAATTGGGATTGGGCCTAAAAGTTCAGAATGAGTGTTGTATGTGATTTTACAAAATAGTATTAGAGCAGAGTCCAGTTCAGACCAACACTGGACCTGTGTGAAAATACACAGCCCCTAATCAATTTGAATAGAAACAGTCCATTTGCACCGGGGGAGCACCGGAAAAACAGCAGAAAGGTTGAGCCAAACTTTTGCTGCAATGCAACATCATCTGGTCAGATACATGATAGGATATATTTATGGTAGATGACTTTGTAACACGAACATCATATTTCTACTCTTTATCTTGTGATCATCACAGTGAAAGTTAAAATAGTAAAATAATGTCTGAGTGTTCTGTGTCTCCCTGGTACCTTAAACATCAGGCCTCTGGCAGTATAGCCCCCTGCAATGTCCTAGGGTTGTGTGCTGGGATTGAAAGCTCCAGAAGAAGATTATTTTGCCCCGGCAAGAAAGTTGTTTGTGATATTTGTGCTACAGTGCAATACAGTGTTGTCTGATATTTGCTGTGTTTAGCTAGGTCCATATATTTAGCTGTATGTTTAATTATTTGATCCTGATTGATCAATTCTAACATTCTCCTTGTAGGCTTCTCTCTCTCACAACTTGAGATAAAAAAAGAGACCTTAAAAAAACAATCCTACCAAAATGTTGGTACAGTAGTGTGTTTCTGAAACGCTTGATAGGAAAAGAAAAATGACTGAAGGCCCTGCCTGTGGCATTGGTGAGGTGTGTTCATGACTTCATCCCTGCTAAAGTATTTATGTTCTATAGCTGGTCCTAACCTTTGATACCACTGTGAAGAAAACTCAGTTTTCCCACAGGAGCCAGCAATGGGTCGCAATGTAATCTTTTTTTAATTGGATAAATGTATGCACTTGGTAGCCAGAGAGGTAGACAGTGTGTAAGGTGAAGTTCATTACTGTAATGCTGTATATAGCTTTAACTATACAGGCAGCAGTTTGATCCATTGAACTGGCAAGAATGTATGATTCTCAGTGTTGATTGACCAGTTTTCAGTGATGAATAATTGTTTTGTCAAGTGATGCTGATATGGAAGAATGTGGAGCTTGTTCATTGTAAGACCAGGAAATACCATTAACTGTGAACAAACAACGCACACAGGAGCAAAGTTTCATGTTTCTGACCATGTATGTTGTGGTAGCTGGTTGATTTTTTCTGGATAACAGTGTATATAAAAATGAGTGTTTGCCTCTAGGAATTTATTGTAACTTAATTTATGTTTTATGTCTAAATTAAAGAGAAACACACAAAACTTCTTTTCTCCTTTATTGGTGTATTTTATTTGAAGTAAAAGGAAGTGTGCAGGATAAATTCTTTCTATATTGACCAGTATTCAAAGTTTTACACTTCTTGCACCTGGAAAAACAAATTAATACAACACAGTATATAATTCAGTGGTTCCTCTTTATTTGCAGATGCTTGCTTAATCACTTCTTATGATTGGGCATAAAATGGTTTCTGGCCATAGAGGCTGAGATGTGTCCTGTTTGTTCATAATGCCAACATCAAGTGAACTCAACAAATAGTCAAACTTACCTCTGAAGACCCATTAAATGTCTCAGCACCAGTGCAGCTACTAGATGATATACTGTTTTATGTGTCTTCTCTATAGCATTGTCAACAGGTGTATTAGTTGTCATATATTGACAGTGCCACTCTAAATGGCCCGTAGGAGAGGTGTACCCTGCCTTTCGCCCAATGTCAGCTGGGAATGGCTCCAGGCTCACCCCAGCCCCAACTCTTGTCAGGATACACAGTAGAGATAATGGATGGATGGACGGATATTGACATTACAGGTCCTTGAGTAGGCTATTACTGAGAGGCACTTTAAAGATTCAGTTCATCCAAATTACAAAAGATATGTTTTCATAGGACATATTTCTTCAATAGAAGGATGTTAATCAGAGTCTGTGAATTACCCAGTAACCACCATATTGCTTCTGGGATGACAAGTCACTGTTGAATGTGGGATTCTGAGTATTTTAAGCAACACCATATAAATTCCATTCACCTTTACTATCATCAATTAGGAGTGATTTAGTATCTCTTAGTACTGCAAGTAATTATTTTCATTATCAATTCATCTATTGATTATTTCTTTAATGAATTACTTAGTCTGAAAATTTGGGAAATAGTGGGGAAAATTGCAGTTTCCCAGAACCCAGGGTGACTTCATCAAATTGTATTTTCTGTCCAAAAACAAAAACATCTGGTTTACTAAAGACACTGAAAAGATCGGCTTTGAGAAGCTGGGACCAGCAATTATTTGGCACTTCATGCCTGTGAAATGACCGCACTTTAACAATCATCCATCCATCTATTATCTATACTATACCGTCTATCCAGATCCCATTCCACTGCATGCTACATATTTTTTTAATTAGCATTTGTGAATATCTCATCAAGCAGCTCGTTCTCTTGTATTTCACTACATCAGCACATGACATGACAGCTTTTGCAACACATTTACAGAGAAAAAGCAAACTTGCATGTGTCCCTATTGGTTGTTCATTATACTGGTCTAACAACAGTTGAGGCACCATGGCAGCTTTTCCTTGGACAAATAGAGCAAAGGCTGAATGCTGCTGCTGAGGTCCATCAAGCCAAACGCGATATAGTGAATATAGCAACGAAACACATCAGGAGAGAAGTATTTCCTAAAGGGGAATAGTACAACAAGTGGTAAGTAGTTGAACATTATGATAGCCAGGATGAGGAGCACAATCTTGAAGGCTCTCTTCTTCACTGGGTGCATCTCGTCTCTTCCGGGCCCAGACTTTCGCAGCACCCTGAGAATGGAAATGTTGCAGAAGACCATGAAGGGGAATGCTGTGAGAATCATTGCTGCGAAGACAATGTAAAAGTGAGTGATGTTGCCCACACATTTAGCAGCAGCATAGGCCAGGGTGAGCAGCCAGATCACCGTGACCAGGACTGCTCGGTGATTGCGGTCCTTGAGCTTGGTGAAGGTGATGGGGTGGACGACAGCCACATACCGGTCCAGGCAGATGCAAGAGTGGAATAGTAGTGAGGATTCTATCACTCCATCGAAGAAGCGCTGGATGCACTGGGTGCTTTTGGTGGTGATGAAGACAAGGTTAGTCAGCTCCAGAGGAGGGACGGCACAAAAGAATACATCTAACACAGCCAGATGAAGGATGAAGATATCTGAGGTGGAGGAGTCTCCCTTGTTCTTGTGGATGAGCCACAGCACCATGAGGTTGGCCGGGATACCAACGAACATGTTAAAGAACTGCAGGCACAGGTACCAAATGAGAACGGCAGGCATGTCTTTGCACTGTTCGTATAGTGTCTGCTCACCAGTGGTGATGTTGAGGGGTCTGTAAAAGACAATGAGAACAGAGGAGTTGATGTGTAAGACCTCCATGATGAATCAGAGAGTGACGTTTTCAGAGGACACCAGCCAGAGGAGCAGAGACCTGGCAGAACAGAACAGGTCAGACAAACACAATCAAGTTGAGATGTTAGAGACAACAGACAAATAAGAA